TTCAAGGCCTCACAGGAGTCCCGGCATCGCTGTTGCCGGGTGGCGCCACAGAGCCCGCCCTGCGATTGTTTTGATCTTGTTGAGGGTCTAGGGTTTAGGGTTGAGGGTTTAGGGCTGAGGGTTTAGGGTTCAGGGTTCAGGGTTTAGGGTTTAGGGTTTAGGGCTGAGGGTTTAGGGTTTAGGGTTTAGGGTTTAGGGTTTAGGGTTTAGGGTTTAGTATAGTTTTAGTACAGTTATAAGTTATAGTGATACTACAGTTTTAGAACAGCTATTACAAGTTATAATGATATTATAGTTTTTGTATAATTAGTTATGATGATACTACAGGTTCAATATATAGTTATGATACTAAAGTTGTAGTCTAGTTAAAATTCGTATAGCTATACTTTATTTATCACAGGAGCGATGAAAGACCATGATGCAGTCTCGGCACGCAGCTGAACTTTCCTGAAACCCTGGCCTCTGGTGCGTCCAAGCGTCAAGTGGACGTAGAGGAAAACATCGTCAGTAGTGTGCTGGCGGGGGAACGGGGAGCTGATCGCCACACGCCTGCTGCATGGGAGTTCAGGGTTTCGGTCCCGACATGTATGCGGCTCCGTTACTTCGTCCCCAAGCGTGCCTAGAGCGGAGGTGCTTCCTCGACTCGCCGGGCACGCGCAGCGTCATTGACGGAAACGCCTGCAGAGAGGGGCCGAGAAGCTTGACAGCACGCTCTCGTCAAGAGCCAATCGCTACGTCCAGGCTGAGGGAGCTGCACCGACCCCCCCATGGCCTGCTCCTCCTCCTCCACCTGAAAATTGAAACGATGCTTTCATCGGGGAAAGGCGCCGCAGCGGGCCTGCTGGCCCGGGTTCTCGGCGTGAGCTTTCCGCACCTTCCGCGCGTAACGGCGCAGGACGGCATCGATGCCGGCGTTGCCGACCCAGTCCAGTGGCCGCGCAAAGCGCTTCAGGGTGGGCATGCCCATCCGCACCTCCACAGCACACCCGGCACAATCCGGATGCCTCATGTCTGCAAAAAGTGGCCAGAAACAAGGTCAATCAATGCATGCCTTGGACTCGTCGGTCTTGCGCACCTCGGGCGCAAGAGAAGAGGAGCCGACGAACGTTGCGAGCGACATGCGGCCAAGGCACGAATCGCAAGTGAGCTTCCTCGATATCCATCAGTGTCGTGCTCGCGTTCACCAGCAACGTCATCTCCGCCAGCTCGTCGTAGACCTCTTCGTGCGACTCCTTTCTGAGAGCAATCTTCAGTCTTCTGCTAAGCCTTCAGCTCGCGAATCCATAGAACCCGTTGATCCGGAAGCCTTCATCCGTTCCAATCTTTGACATGTTCGAGAATCAAGTCGCAAAGATCCCGCCCACCCCGAAGCGATTCCATCTCTGGGCCACTTGCGTCACCCCGTCACCACAGGTCATCACCTGTCCGCCAAGTGGCGTTGCTGGCAGCGGAGCGCGCCGTCGGGGCACTCCTAGAAGCCAGCAGGCTGCTGGGAAGCACCTTGCCGGGGGTCGGAAGGGAGGGGAAAGCAGGGGCCCACAGGAAGGACCCAAGGCGACTTCCAGTGCAAGTCAAGCAGCATTCTGCGTCGGGTCCGCCTCAGCCAGAACCCGCTGTGCATTGGGAACATTGGCCAAAGCCCGGAATCGCTAAACCTGCAGAGATCCCACAATGCAAGAGAGGCGCATCTGGAGGCGGCATGGTCTGCACATCCTCCTTCAGGGCAAGCCTCAGCACTTCACTGCTTCAGACTGCAAGACATCCGACACGGCGCAACCAAGCTGCAGGTGGTAGGCGGTGCTCTCGCCATAGAGACTAGGAGGCAGCGGGACGTGGAAGACGTCCACCGAAATCGTCTGGCCCGAAGGGGCCCGGAGAGGCACGCGCAGACAGCGCGGGGCGACGGATGGCAAGCGCTGCCGCTCGCCGCTTTCTTCGCCCGATTCACTGTCGCTGTGGCTGACAGCTACGGCCCGCGCTAGGAAGTCATCGAACAGCTTCCTCGCCTCATCATCGACCACAAGGTCCCGAAAGCTGCGCCCAGCAAAGTCCTCACTGCTTGACAGGAGCCTTTGCAGGCACAGCGCTTTGCCGCGGATCTGGAAGTTGCCGTCCAGTAGCAGCTCTCCATCACAGATCCCCTTCAGCATCTGCCGAAAGCCCCGAACCAAGGAGTCCGAGTCTTGCGACTGAAACGATGCCACAATCCACTCCCGAACAGCGAACTCGCAAAAGAGTGGTATGGCCAGGTATGCTAAAGACTGGGCACATGCAGACACTATCAGCCACGAATTTACTGTACCGAAGACGTGCCCCTTGACCCAGGTGTCGACAGCAAAGTAGGACACGGTCTGCAATATGGTCATTCTGCCGACGGGGAAGAGGAGTGTCTGCAGAATGTAAATTCCCTGGCACAAGCCGTGCCGCCCCAATACGCCACTCTGGTCGGAGCCGCTCACCCACACGAGAATCAAAAGTCGCACCCAGAGGAGTAGCCGCAAGGGGACAAGCAGCGAAGATGTGAGAGGCCGCTTTGTGCTGAGAAGCCAAAACATCAACAGATATCCCATTGCACCGATGACCCACCATGTCGCCGATTGCAGGCCAGGTGCACAGAACAAGTCAAAGGTGAAGAATAGGAGTAGAACCAGCATCACATGGACGATAAGCCGGAAGAAGGACGTCAAGATCTTTAAGCGTAGACGCATCAGCTCCTGGGTGCTGTTTGGGGCCTGCTTTCTGTCTTTCTCCTGGGCTCTTGTATCAACTGCTTTAAGTTGAAATGCCTAAGAGCAAGTCATTCCGAGATGGGTCCGCAGTCCTCACAGTGAACGAGTCCTTCATCCCACTTGAAGATACCTAGAGTAGCCAATGCACACTTGAAGCAACCCTTAAGACTCGGTGCACTTACCTTATTTAGGTGTTCAGTTGCACTCTAGCCTCCATGAAGCAGCGACAGCTGACGGATCTTTTGCATCTGCGTGAGCAGTCGTCCCACAAAAGAAAACAGTCACCACTGTCTTTGACGGTGGCGGAGGGAGCGGCGGGCGGGTTCTTGAGCAGCGGCACGTTTAACCTCACACCTATAGCTGCAGGTGTTCAGTTGCACTCTAGCCTCCATGAAGCAGCGACAGCTGACGGATCTTTTGCATCTGCGTGAGCAGTCGTCCCACAAAAGAAAACAGTCACCACTGTCTTTGACACCGCCTCTTCCACCCATTGCAACCACTACGGCAGCTGCTCGCCACCGACAAAGAGAGAGTACCAGTGCTGGTGCGGCGTCGAAGCAGACTGAAGTCGCTCGGAGAGTAGGACCACAGCAGCAAACACGTCGAGAAGTGAAAAGACCCGAAGTCTGACCCGAGGCGCGAGACGGTGGATAAACTGTAACGACGAAATCTCCTGAATGTAAATCTCCATTGTGCGGCTGTTCAGCCAACGACCCCTTCTCCGCACCAGCTCTGAGTCCTCAGAAGTTTGAAGTAACCAGGTCGCGCCGCCAGCGCGCAAAGAGCCAAGGTCCAAGCGTCGTTGGCCCTGGCCTTCCCAGGTGTCTGTCCCCAAACGGATCATGAGGGCATCAAAACGGCTGCGCAGAGTCGAAGGCGAAAAGGGCCATAGCTTGCACCCCGAACCCAAGTGTCCAAAAGCCATTTGAACCACACGCAAGAGGTCTGGCTGCTGATCCAGCTTGGCCGACTGGTGCCTAGCTGCACGGAAGCGCGTCTTAGGCTCGCTGATGGAGACGAGGGCATAGGCCATCGTGTCACAGACATCTCCTGGCAGCAAGAGGTCGGAACGACGGGCTGCAAGGGATTCGCCAATTCTCATGATAGCCCCCCAGGTCAAGGCCAGCATACCAGCGACCCTGGACCATCCCCACATCAGCGACAAAGAGATCGCAGCCAAAAGTACCTGCCAAGGGAGAGCAACGTGATGCGAATGAGGCTCTTCCCGAAGCCAAGCAAAAGCCAAATCCCAAGCAGGTTGCAAGCATCTCCTCAGCCCAGGCTCCTTAGAAGATACAGCGTTTATAACCTCTGAGTAATGGGAATAGGGCCACCCAGCATCATATAGTTGCCTCCCATAGCAAACCAGCAGCGAGTTGAGCCTCTTGGTGGTTGGCGGCGCAAGATCAAGGAGCGCATCAAAGTTAATGCTTTGTTCCTCCAGCCAAAACGAAAAAGCCTGCAACAGTTTGTCCCTCCTCTTCTGCGTCACCGCTTCAACTGGTCGTCCTTCTGGCAAAAGCACTCCAGATCTAGCAGTCAAGCGTTTTACATCAGCAGGATTGCGAGGGCGCAAAACATGGCTCGGGCCTACGGCACCTACGACCCCGAACACCCCGAACCAAACCACCAGAAGGAAAGGTCCCTCGCCAGGAAAACCAAGAGTGGAATCGAAGAGGCGAGAGGCATGACGGCCGACGCGCCATCCGAGGTGAGGCCTGAAAGAAGGAGGAGGCCCAAGGCAAAGGCAGACAAGGCGGGCCCAATTCGAGGCCCAGCGGCGAAGCTTGATCTGGGAGAGGCCCTCATAAATTTCATCGATGGACAAGGTGTTCCAAAAGCACGAGGGAGAGGGCACTGGCAGAGGGAGGTCCCTGGTTGGACAATCACCAGGATTAAGTCTCGTAGGGACAAAGTGGAAAGCGGCATAAATCCCTGCCAGGAGGCATGTTGCAGCAATTTTCCGAAGGACCGGCATGAGGCCTCGAGAGGGGCTCCTGCCTTTGGCACACGCATGTAATGCAACCGAGGAATCGACCAAGATAACAACGCGGCACGGCCCACAAGGAGCCAGGGCCTTAACCAAGCGAAGTATCGAAGCCGTCTCAAGGATATTGATGTGGGCTGAGGCTCGCCAACACCAGTCATCACCAGGCTCCCAGCGAAGAGCCAGGACGATATCATTCAGGAGATAGTTTTCGAGGCCCTCGACCGAAACATCGAGAAGAGAGCCCACATGGGACAAACGACGCAGCGCACTGTCATACTCATAGGCGAGAGCTTTGGCAAAAAGGCCAGGGAAGGAGAAATGCGGAGCCGAGGGCGGTGAAGGGCTCAAAGAGCGACGGCCCACGCAGCAACAAGGTACTGCCAAAATGGAGAGATCAATGCCAAAAACAAGGAGCTTGCAATCCTCGCAGCGAGGCCCTCCAAAGGCACAAAAGCACGTAGAGTGCAAGGTAGCTCCAAGGCCAAGGAGGCGAAGCCACTCGGGACGTTTCGGTAGGAGAGAGCCGCCTGTGCAAACAAGCGCGGCTGGTGTGCCAGTTGCACGACACACAAAGAGAAGAGCCAAGCAACGGAGGGCACGGCAAAGAGCGCGGCCCGGCTCAGAAGAGTTGCGCTTAAGAGCGCCCCATGAAAGACACGGAGGCACCAAAAGGAGGCTCCTGAGTTTCCGTTCCTGAAGAAGGTGCACAACCCATCCGAAGGACCTATCGTCAACGAGGTCATAGGCTGGGCTGTTGTCAACACAGAACACGGGCCCAACAGTACGGCCAAAATCAGAGAGCCGATAGGAGACCTGACCACCAGCAGCCCCGACCTCCATGAAGTCGAAGAAGTAAGCCAAAGGCCGTGAGGGGCTAAGGGCAGCCGAAGGGTCGCCTAGGCGCAAGTCGAAGGGCTCGCGATCCTCGAAACGGGCAAGCACAGCTTCCTCACGTGACAGAAGCCGGCTGTAGCCTCCCTTCTTAGAAGCAGTGCGCCAGAGAGGCCGGAGGAGCTCGGGGTCAGCTCTTGCAACAGTGTACCCACCCTTGTTCTCAGAAGCGTCAGTGGCGAAGAGGTGCTGAAGGTGGGGCGCGGCAATGTCGCAGGAGGCCAAAGGAGACAACACACTGATCAATACCAGCTCCTGCGCCGCTGCCCTCGGAAGCTGATACAACACTGGTCGGCCCGGCCTAGCCGAGCTAGCTGGGACGACGCCATAAACAGCACTGAAGACTGACATGAGAGGGCGGCGAAAAAGAGACGCCGAAGTCCAACTGCCGACGAGGGAAAGCCAAAGCGCATCCGTGACATAGTGCAGCCGGGCAGTCTCCAAGGATACACTCGAGAGGGCAACACGCTTGGAGGCCGGAGCAGCAACCGTGATAAGTCCGCGGGACCTGGCCTCATGGGCTGAGTTGATCTCTGCACCGGCGATGGTCGCTCGCTGTTCGGCCCAGAGGTCCTTGTCATCAGATCCAAGCAAGCCCTCATCCTCATAGATGCTCTTTGCAGCCCGCAGACGCACGTTGCACAGGGGCTCGGAAGAGTCAGCAACGTCCGCAACACAGACAGTGAAAAAGTCATCTATCACCAGACCCTGTGCCTCAGTAAGTCCTTTGAAAGGCCGATTCGAACAGAGACGGACGGAGCTATCAAGAAGACCACGCGAGGCCAACAAATTGCCATGTGCGGCGGTGCCCACCTCCACGGCCAAATGGTCCCCCTGGGCCACCGACCCAAAACAAATCAGATAGTGGTCCGGATCAAAGAGAACCGAAGAAGGCTGGCAGGCACTGTTGCGGCACGAGAGGCCGGAGACGAAACCACACGAGGTAAGCGGAGCTCGGTGGAGCAGCCGGGCAAAAGCCGTAGTGTGGCACACCAGCTCGCGAGGCAAAGCAGGGCCCAAGGCATTAAGCACAGCTTTGGCAGCAGGCACCCTCAGCTGATGATAAAAATCCTTCCTGTCTGCGGCGGAGCAGCAGACCGTCTGGCGCGCGGGATTGGCCTCCAGCATGCCGAGCATGGGCCCGACCGGAATGTAAAGACTGGGACCAGCCAGTCGGCACTCGGCATAGTTTTGCCCACGACGGTCAATGATCATGCGGTCTCGGTCCGGGCCTTTGTAGCAGTTGAAGGCCCTAGACAAGGTGTAGCTCTCAGAGACCTCAAGGGTAGCCGGGGCCAGGCGCAAAAGTCCCAAGTCATCCCACAGATCGGCCAGTGCAGCAACCTCAGATGGGCGCTCGCGGGTCCACACAGGCACAAAGTCATCAGGGGGCAGATGCCCATGCAAAAGAGAACGAGGCTCCGAGAAAGCCATAAAGAGCTCATCTGGAAGATGAGGAAGGGGATTCCAAAGCCCCCTCCCCGCGAGCTTTAAACGCGAAACGTCAAGTGACCTGAAAGGGTCCAAACCCGGTCTGGCCTCGTTGTGCATTGGAACCACAGTACCTGAACGATCAGCATAAGGGTCCCCCGTGGCGGCGGCCGAAGCAGCCAAGAAAGCCATTAGCTCAGAGAGGCGTGCAAGTAATTGGGGATTGCGGCGGCCCGAATCGGCAAGAGCAAACTCACCAACTGAGGCACCGAACGCCTTCAAATGACGGCCTACATGCGCAACAAGGCTTCGCTGTGCAGCATTGAGGGGCCGCTGGAGAGCAGTCGAAGGGATTGGCACAAAGTTCGAATGCAGGAAATTCAAAGCCATGCAAACGATGTGCAGCAGGCGCCTGTGCATGATGCGCCGACGGAACAAAGAACTGCTTTCCAAAGGAAAACGAGCAAAGATGCCCGTAGCAGGCAGGGGGACAGGGAAAACTGACCCCGAAGGCGGTGCAGGCTTGGCAAGCCTGGGCAGATGCAAAGTAGACTTAAGAAAAACCGAAAAAGTTGTCCTAGAGCGAAGCACTGCACGAAGGAGCCCGGAAACCCAAGAAGCAAAGCTGACCTTGGTATCAAAACCGAACTGGCAATGGTCAGCACCTAGCCCGGGAGGAGGGCGCGAGCACACAGGCGGGGCGGCGAGGCGGCGAGCTGAGCCACCAGAAGTCCGAAGACCTGGCCGAAGAACCTCGGGACCTTCCTCTGCAACCTGGGTGGTTCCTTGGGCCTTCCAACCTGAGCCTCGCCTACCGCGGCGGGCGGCGCCACGACAGCCGGGACGCAAAGGTGCTGAGGGAGCCTCAGGCAGAGGCAAACCGTTATGATTCACTTGGCTCCGTCCGTCCGGGCTTTCTTTGGGAACCTGGGAGGCTTCTTGGGTTTTCCATCCTGAGCATCGCTGTCCTTCGGCGGGGGGGCTCCAGAGGGCCTGGGGGTTCCAAGCGATTCCAGGCGGCGGGTCGTGATCAAGTCGACTTCCTTCAAGTACTGGAGAGCACAGGTAGTCCAGCCCACCGGCGACAAAGGCGAAAACGCCCTGGTCCGAGGATTGGCCACAGCCCCCCTTCCGTGGAACAGCTGAGCCGGACCCTCCTCCAACAGCGTCAGCAGCCAGGCGAAGTCCCATCGGTTGCCATCCAGGGAACTTTGATCGAGAGCCACGACCGTCAACGCAAGAAACTCCCGGGCCCCGGAATGTCCTTCTTCGTAAGACAGTCCATCACGTGGGCAAGGCACCACATGAGGTACCCCACCTCCCGGTGCCCGGCATAACCGCCGAACCTTTCGAAGTACTGGCACATCGACACCTGCCCCGAGCATTCGGCGAGTGAGGCTGGCAATGGAGTCGAGGGGCGGAGGCGCTTGTGCGCGGCCTGAAGCACAGACAGGTAAAAGTCGCCCGACCTTGAAGCAAGGGCATTCTGCAATCTCTCCCGTCGGGCTGCACCCTTGGAACCCACATAATTCGAAGAGCCGGATGCTGATAGGTCCCCCAAGCCCCCGTCCTGCTGTGCTACAAGGTGGCCCACCAAACTGGCCAAAGCCTGGCTTTGCTGAAGCATCGCGGCATGGAAGGGATCCTGAGGCTCGGCCGCGGCAGGCTCGTCTCCCAAAGCCCCGGCCCCCAAAGGTGCAAGAGGCTCCTCTTGAGCGGCCTCGGCCGCATGTGCGCGAACTCGGGGCGGGGGCCCGATCAGGGCGGCTTGCTTCGCCAAAGGAAGGCCGGGACCACGAGACGGAAGGAAGCCCTGCTGATGCGCTGGCTTCGGAGGGCTCTGTGCAGGACCCGGAGCCCCCACGCGTTTCTCCAGCACTTCTTGGCGTTCCTTCATGGCAGTCAGCTGTTCCGTAAGCTGAGGGAGCAAAGCAGTAAGGGCACCCATCTGCTGGGCTAGATCGGCAGTAGTGACCTTCTTGCGAGGGGCTGCCGCCTTCTTGGCCTGACGTGCCTTGCCTGCCTGAGCAACCTCGGCCGGGGGCACCTCTTCCTGAGCAGAGTAAAACGCAGCCCGGTCGGCCCCCACTTGTGCAATCCAGGACCGCGCCGCGACAAGAAGATCCTCGGACAGGGGCGTGGCTTCGGGCTGGTGAAGGTGATAGGGGAAGAGGTTCTCCGAGACCAGATCCTCCCCCAAGTCCCTCAGCAAAGGGAGCACGTCCAGCCCAAAATCTATCAGCAACACCGGAACCTCCAAGTCCAAGGGCTGCTCGACCCCTTGCTCGTCCGAAGTCCCAAAGGGAAGAGTGAATTGCCGAGAAGGGCCAATCAGGCTCGAAGCATCGGCTGCCTCGCCTGTGTCCAAAGCCGCAAGAGACAGAAAGCCGCAAGGCACGCAAAGCAGAAGCCCCTCGTGCCTTTTCATGACTGGTATCACCAGTGCCTCGGGGGCAGGGGCGGTCCTTTCGCTGTCTGGCCAACTCAGCGCCATGAAGCGCAGGGAGCCCTCCGAGAGGACTTCGAGGCTCGATAGCTCGGTCATCTTTCCTGTGGGACAGCGATTCCTGCTGCGTCGCAGAAGACCTCAATCTCAGCCAAGGAGGCGAATGCCCGGCACAGGGTAGAGGAGTTCTCCAAGGAACCGACGGCCTCTTTGAAAAGCCGACCGGAGGAGAAGAGGGCAGGGCACTGGACCTTGTCACACCTGAGAACAATGTAAAACCTGGGCCTGAGAGAGGAAGGCAGGCGGGCAGCCGGGCGAGGCGTGGGGACGATGTCGTCCAAGACCAAACGAGCCCAAAGTCCAGCAGTCCAAGCTCGTTGGGCGCGAGCTGCAGGAGTAGATCCGGACCCGGTAAGGCCCTTGCAAAGCCGCAGGCAACGATCAGGCACAGCAGCAAAAGAATCCTCAAGGCGGTTGTAGAGGGCAGTGAGCTGGCCCGGGGTGAGCAGAGAATGATGAGGTTCGGCGGGCCCCGGAGCCTCACGGGTCCCAGGCTCAACAGGGGAAGAGGGACTAACTACAACCCAACCCTCACTAGAACCACTAGGGGCACTAAGGGAGTCAGGCCGGATAGCCAAGGACAGTTGGTGAAGCGAATCGGCAAGGTTATTGATGGCAGATGAAAGATCAGGCTCACTCATGTAAGTAGGAACGCAGTCTGAGGTCGGTGGGCCTCCGAGGCGGAGCAGCAGGCTGAGGAGTGGAAGGGAAAGGGACCTGGCAAGGCACCTTAAGAAGGATATCCCTGAAGAACCACACCGTGACCACCACCCCCAAGGAGACCCCGAAGCCAAAGGTGAGCCCCAAAACCAACAAGGACCCCTGACAATGTGAAGGGCAACCAAGACCCCACCAATTCGAAACCACCCCCGACTGGACGAGGCGCAGTGCCTGCTCGATCCACATTTTCTTGAGCAGCGGCACGTTTAACCTCACACCTATAGCTGCAAGGTACCTTTGGCGACTCCAAGTACGCGCATCACGTGTCGTCGTCTTTCTTCGTTTGAGTGAGCTTTTCGGGGTTCCCAGTTCCCTGTCGGTATACGAGCATTAGGGTACGGGCCAAGGGTTCCCCCTAAGGTTTGAGGTACAGGCGAACTGCCGGTCAAAACCACAAGATGTGGTAGCTGTTGTCGTAGTAATTAGCAGCACTAGGAGAAGAAGCTGCAGTAGCCAGTACCCAGTAGCAAGTAGCCAGTGGCTGGTGGCACTGGCAGTGAGCGGCAGTCGTAGTAGTCGTAGTAGTCGTAGTGGCCATACTGGTCGCAGTAGTCGTGGTAGTCGTAGTAGTCGCGGTCGTCGGAGTAGTAGTAGTAGTAATAGTAGTAGTAGTAGTAGCAGCAGCAGTAGCAGCAGCAGTAGCAGCAGCAGCAGCAGCAGCAGCAGCAGCAACAGCAGTGGAAGTGGCAGCGGCAGCGGCAGGCGCAGTGGCAGTCGCAGTAGCAGTAGCAGTCGCAGCAGTAGCAGGAGCAGGACCAGCAGGAGCAGGAGCAGTAGCAGCAGCAGCAGCAGTAGCAGTAGCAGTAGCAGTAGCAGTAGCAGTAGCAGTAGCAGTAGCAGTAGCAGTAGCAGTAGTAGTTGCAGCAGCTGTAGTAGCAGCAGTAGCAGCAGCC